TCAGGAGAGATCGAAGAAAAAGAGAAAAAAAGGCAGATCAACTATCGCCTATTCTGACAGCTTTGAAACCATGTCAGAGCGCACATTATCCAGGGCTACCCTATCACCGCTGCTAATCCATCACTGTTGACAGACATTGCTGCGACATCCGCCTCCTCTGGTCGCGTTGTTCGCCTCTGGCGGGTTGTTGTGGGGCCTTTCGGTTGACGCACACGGGGTATTCTGTGTGTTTGTGTGTTGTGTGTGTGTGTGTGTGTGTGTGTGTGGTGTGTGTGTGTGTGTGTGTGTGTGTGTGTGTGTGTGTGTGTGTGTGTGTGTGTGTGTGTGTGTGTTTGTGTGTGTGTGTGTGTTGTGTGTGTGTGTGTGTCTGGTGTGTGTTGTGTGTGTGCGTTGCGTGTGTGTGTGCGTGTGTGTGTTTGTGTGAGGTGTGATTTTTCAAAGCGAATCTTTTGTTAGCAATGCGAATGTGTTGTGTCACGATACACATCTGTTTTGTCAGAAACCAATTATTTCCGAGAATAGCCTTAAGTCAAATAAACGCTGCATGGGCTGTTAGTCATTAAAAGCATATATCCCAATAATACTTGATAGCCTAACATTCCAAGAGGCTGTTGTTACGTATTTATGACGTTTGTTTTGTAAAATTTATGCATCTTTATCCGATCTGGAATGTTATCTTGACTAGCCATTTCTGAATGTCTTGCTTATGTTTCAGAGCTTTATAAACAGTCTTTCATTTTGGTTCAAGGTTTTAGTAGTCATATATATATATCTTAGTCTCCCTCTACCCCAGTTTTTATATATCACAAATATATCCTAAACCCTTACAACTTCGAACTAATCATATCAGCACAGCAAAGCATTGATTGAAAAATACTTTATTATGCCAAAACGATTCATATAATTGCTATACTGTCTCGATAGAGATCAGAGTACGTCCTAATGCACCGAAATTGTTCAGAAAATAATATGAAGTCGTTACGAGCTGACGTTACGAGCCAAGTCATATTACGAAATTTCCACACAATAGCAAGAAGGATGATGACTCTGTCTCGCGGCCGCAAACATTTGCTTGGGATCATTTAATGTGCTTGTGCATGTGTTCACTCGCGTGCTTGCATGTCTCCATACGTGCGGAGGCCTTTATATGTGGGAGTGAGTGTATGCTCGAAGGGGAAGATAAATAGAGGAGAGAGAGAGAGAGAGAGAGAGAGAGAGTAGAGAGAGAGAGAGAGAGAGAGAGAGAGAGAGAGAGAGAGAGAGAGAGAGAGAGTTAGAGAGAAGAGTAGAGAGAGAAGAAGAGAGAGAGAGAGAGAGAGAGAGAGAGAGAGAGGAGAGAGAGAGAGCAGAGAAGAGAGAAGAGAGAGAGAGAGAGAGAGAAGAGAGAGAGAGAGAGAGAAGAGAGAGAGAGAGGAGAGAAGAGAGAGAGAGGGGGGGGGGTAAAAGAGACACACACACACACATCAACACACACACCACACACACACACACACACACACACACAGCACCACCACACACACACACACACACACACACACACCACACCAAACCAAACGCCATAATGCTAATAACCATAATACTCATAAACTAGCCAACATCAACACAACTCAAATACTAACACTAACCAGACTAACACCTTACAGGTCAATGATAACATCTTACCTACTAACTTAACACAAAGCACAAACACACACAATTGCACAACATCGTATAGTAAAAACAACTCACACACTCACACACACACATACCCTACTAGACAATCAACCCAACTCTATCACACAGAAACTATCTACAAAGTGGGATAATTGAAGTCAGAGTGTAAAGAATAAAAAAGCGCAAGATGGTGCCATTTTAAAAGGAGACACACAAATCGAAAGAGAGAGAGTCGCCCGTCTGAGGACATTGATATACAATACACGCGGGACGAACGGCGAGAGGGGAGAGGGACACCTGACCCCGCGAGGCGCAGATGAGATTGATTGAGCGAGAGTGAGATTTATGAAACCCGGTTAGGGATGCGACGACCGACATGAACCTCCACGCCAAAATCAAGGTGATCCGGAGGTGGGAGAGGAAGGGTCACGACTCCATTCTCCCGCCCATCCACCCTCCGGAGATGATACTGCCGAACGGGTACAGACATCAGACACGAACAGATGAAATGTGAACGAAGGGAGGCCGCACCTGACAGGCCGAGCCACTGGGTATAATTGGAGAGCATACGCGATGTCGCTCACTGGCTTCATGGTATGGTTTTCGGGTTGGCGGGCGGGTGAATGTCTCGGGTGGCCGGGCGGAACTCACTCGCCGTCTTGGTACTTGATATGACATAAGCATGGTGCACGCACATGACTGGGGCCAATAGGACATTCTACAACTATTTACATAGATAGTATCGACTATCTAGATCATAGACCTCTCACAAAAGACCACACTAGACCACACTAGCCTGATTCCAACAACACTACACACAAACAAAGACCTGAAACACACACCACAC